GGCTGCACGATTTTGGGAAAAAATCTAATTGCGATTTTTCTGACAAATATTGCGATTCGAATTGCGATATTTATTTTTAAGCGACCCAACGGAAGTTTATTGTAAAATGCGGCCATAACTCCGGCTAGGAAGGTCGTATCAACATCAACTCCCGTCTCTAGCACCCCCGCAGCCCGAGCTACGAGTGAAAGAACTAACGGTACGTCCACACAGCAGCTTTAAACAAATCTTCCACCGCTTCCAACGCTTCTCTGCCCATTGACTTTGAATGGGGATGACGTCACTTTGCCTCGCTTTTCGCCGAACTGCATTGTGGGGGAGCGAAGAGAAGATTTCCAGGATTTCCAGGATTTTCAGGATTCAAAAGTTGAGCAATGTTCAACTTTTGAAGCTGAGCTGGAAGCGTCAGCCAATCAAATCCCGTTTATGCAAATCTGACAGTACAAGCGCTAGCCAATCAAACCGCGTGTAAGCAGGGAGAACCAGACCGCAGTTCATTTCCTCATATTCCAAACGAGAAATTACGGTAGCAAATCACCCGGTTCTTTATGACCAGAACTATTAACGGGATACAAACCGGAGGAACCAGGTATGGAGGGAGGTGGCAGAGACAGTGGGTGAAACTGGTAGGTTTTCGCCTGTTTGGGGATTTTATATATATATATATTGCTCGCATAAAATCCCCGGGGTTTTTTGCTTTGTATGTCGGGGGCGGGAGATTCATGTGATTGGTTGTTGGTCGCGTTGCTCGCAAAAAATCCCCAAGCTTTCAGACACGCCCAGCTCCAAGATTTTCAAGATTTTTGAAAAGCTGCTGTGTGGACGTACCGTAAACTTACATGAAACTTCCGTTGGGTTGCTTTAAAGTCAAGCTTCAGTTAAAGATTCACCCTTTTAGATGTAGAACATGTGATGGAGCATTACTAACCTGACTCAGATGGTTTGTTTCACCAAACTATCTAGGAAAGCTCCATTGGAAGCCATTTGGAAAGGGCAGGCACTTTCAAAAATACTTGGCAGGTGATTGGATCAATCTGTCTATCACCTTCTATCATGGGCTACTTCTGATTGATTAACAATGGCTGGTACATGTGGAGCACAGCACTTCTGATTGGTGTGGATGACACAAGAAGAAAAAAATAAATTGTAAAAAAAATAAATAAAAAGTTTTAAAAAATCGCAGGCTTTGCGATTTGATAATCGCATCATCTTGAATCGCGATTTCGATTTAAAATCGATTAATCGTTCAGCCCTATTAGCGATGCTAATGCAAACATGCACCGACCATATTACGTCCAAAACAGTCGGGCATTGTTTCTGATAGCAACGTTTCTGATAGGGCCGTGGGTGTAAAGCCAGCCTACATTTCCGATATTACGTCATATCGGACACAAATCTGGATCAGCTCCGTTGTAGCCCCGTTTTTAGAGATTTGGGTACGGAGGAAAAGAGAGAGGTTTTTATTTTCTGACGCTGCGTGAGTTCCCCGACACACCGGGGACACATCTTTATGTATAAAAGACATCAAAAAGTGCCTTTTGCATGATAGGTCGGACGGACCCCTTTAAGAACAAAAGGCCACATGAGAAAACTCATCATGTAAACGCTGCTGGACACTGTTACATTTCACATGGATGTGATACAGTTTGAGCTTCGGTTTTGCTCTCTGACAAGTTGTAAAACCACAGTAACTCACTGACATGAAACTCAGAGGTTGATGGAGGGTAGGGATGAGCATTTCATTTGGAAAGCTACCAAAACTAACATTACGACTCACTAACAGACCCAATTTCAGTGACTTAATTCATGTACTAGAAGGTATAAACAAAGGACACAACCAGTAAGAGCTCTCTGTCTGCGATCACTTCATATTCTTATTCGAAACTGGAACTACTGTTTGAAAGATGGGAAAAAATGATATACTATCTTTTTGAATGAGCACATTCTTCAGCTTGAATGTCCTGTTGCCAGCAAACTAGGCTTTTTTTTATTTCTTTGCTTATGGCACGGATGAAGAATTTGTTCATTCATCAAATCTACTGTGTATTTTTGTTTTTGGCTGGATTCATAGGTTGAGTTCAAATTAAATCAAGAAAAATAACATTAGATTGAAATGTGTTCAAACTTGAGTTTTTTGTGTGACAGCCCTCAGACGGATAACAGAGGAAAATGTCAGAGAACAAAGCCTCTCGGACGCTTTTCAGACTGTGACACAGACTTTTCCAGTACCGGTAAAACAGACCATCTCTGGAGCAGCTCTATTAAAAACATTAATAACTTAGACACACAGCTCCTTTTAGAAGTTTGCAATGGAAAACCTTATAACGTAATGTGACCCAGTTAAGATTTGTCTGATTTGTTAGGACTACTTCCTTACATTACGTCAATTTTACAGCCAAATAAACAATCTTTAGTACAGAAACACACAATAAAAGAAAAACTGTGTGTGTTGGTTTCCTGGATGCTCCTGTTGAAGGTTTTATTAACCGCACTTGCTGAGAAACAAACGAATACTGTCGGGTTTAAATAATGAATAAAAAAAAGCACAGATTGTCAAAAACAGATGTTGCCGGGGTAGTGATTATCCTAACTCCATGTAAGAGTCCAACAGTAGTCTGAGGAAATACGATGCATATAAACCAGCCTTGTTATCAGGGCCATCTAAACTGGAAGATATCCACAGCAGGGCTTTAGTGTAACAAACTGTATTCCAGATGTTAGTCCCAGCCGGCCGGAGTAATCTGGTTTAACCTCTGACACAAGAGCAGCCGTTCAATTAGTGGATTTCACACTCTAGTTATGGTGACATCACAGCACTGGCTATGGTTTCAAGCACACACTGATAGTGCCCAGGTCTTATTTCCATCAGGCATGGAGAAGATGTAGATCAACTCCTCCAATGATACAGTCCTCATACCAGGAGACATATGCTGACCCAATCCCATAAACTGCAGCCAGCATCCTGGATTAATAACAAAAACACTGCCATCAAAGCTCAAGAAAAAACACAAAAGGCAGATGATGTGGTCTCAATGAATGGCGGAGTAGTTTTTTTTTCCCCAAACTGCACCGAAAACGAGACTGTTAATATTTTATTTCCATGCTTTGGAAGTTTATCATTTAGTTAAGGAAAAGAGAGTAAAAAAAAGACATAAAATAACTTTCCCTAAGCATCTGCGCTGTCATGCTGCCAAGAGAGAGGAACAAACTTTTTTTTTGCTTTTCTTGTGGCCAAAACTAAGGTTCGTAATGAAAGAAGGCCAGCCTTTTTTAATGGGCCAAACACAGAGCCCTGAGGGACCACGTGCACTGGCACATACACTCAAACCACTGGCAAACCCTGACAGTGAACTCCAACAAACCACCATCTGTAATGCTAGTCACTCATTTAGTGATGACCTAAGCATCATTAAACATCTGAAGCTTTGAAAAAAAAAAGAAATGTCTCAAACTAATTACGGAATATAGAATCATGAGCGAGACCGCTGCTGGTACTAAAGTGACAACACTACATTGAACAACAACAATTAGCATGATAAGAAAACAATAACAACTAAAGTACCATCTATCGTGTTGATCTAGTTGCAGAGAAAGCAAATTCCAGTTGGAAAAAGACAGTCCAGGTTTTGATGTTTCCTACCACATGAATCAGTGGCTGGGGTTTGGATCAAAAACACAACATCCCTCATGAACACTTTGCCTTTTAAAACATTGTGAGCATCACACGTGGAAAAGCTTCGTATTGAGAGAAATCAAAGTACTGCAGGGCTCTTCCTATGAAGATAACATTGTTCCTAAATGTGGTTAAATTATGGTCCAAAGAGTTCATATACAAAAAGGAAAACCCCCCAGGTGCCTTTTCTCTTCCACACACAAACACAGGTCTACAGGTGAGACAATAATCTGTTTCACTTTGTCAAGAACAGTGACTGACTTTCTCTTGAAGTAAGAACAGCAGAGCAACCTTAGACCTTCAATATATCCGCTGTCACACAGTGCAAGGATCAGGTGTTTTGAGGTTAATGACGCTTTTGATAGGCCCCCCGTGGAAAACACCCCAAACTTGGTTGTATGTAGAGCTGGGAGAATGTTATGCTTAATAGGTAATAGGTAATAAGACAAAATACAAAACAATAACTACTTCTCAGCTTCTTTTGTTAGCCTTATTTGATAGTAAAGTGCACATATGGTTTTAAACTGTTGGTCAAACAAAACAAGAATTTTTTAAACAGTAATATGAGCTTTGGAGACATCATTTAAGGACCTTAATCAACATTTATAGACTTAGCAGGAGTTTTTTTGTTCATATATGCGTCCCTCCATCTTTTTCTAGCAATGATGCACATGGCCTGACTAAATGGATTAATTAAAAGCAAATAAATAATTGTTTAAAGTTATACTTTGTATACAACTGTTGCAATTAATGACTATTCCTATCAGAGCTGATTAGTTTGTTAATTTATTGGCAACTATGTTGATATTTGACTTTTTAAAGAAAGGAATACAATTGCCCTATTTGAAATTAAGAGTTGTGAAGATTTGCTGTCAACATTATGATAAATTGAATATGTGTGTCAACTCTTGATGACAACAGTCCAACTTCAAACCCCATTTCCGTTCTTATATTGATAATTTGTTTAAACCATGTGCATGGTCAGTTTTCTAAAGATGTTGGAGACAACATATTGATTACAACCGTAATAATGGACGATTTCAATGCGTTACTCTCACTGATAACTGTCACACTTGGATCACATAATAGGGGGCATATGTGCTGCTGCATTGCCTGGAAAAGCATCAGTCTGCTCGGCTTTCCTGCCACGAGTTTCCCCTTCACATTAGCTCTTGGAGAAAATAACACCAATAAGATATGTGGAAACACTAAGTTAAAAAGTCACAAAGCGTGTATCTGATATTCTGTAACGTAGGCTTGTTTCACAGGCAACAAATGTCTCTGTTGTTCTAGAAAAGTCGTGTTAAAAAAGAGTTTCACTACTTACGTGTAACTGCTGCCGATACGTTTTTTTAAGCGACGCCTCTGAAATCCTGCTGAATCTTTTTGTGTCCTCTTCTTTGTGTAGTTTAAGTTGTCGTGGTTGGTCCTGTTTTGTTTTCTTATCTCAGTGTGTCTTCTTCATCCTCCACGTTTTTCCTCTGGGAAGGGAACCACAGAAGAATGAATGGTTCCGTCCCTCTCTTCTGCACCCGGACAGACTACCGCTGATGGGAGTGACTGCAGCCGTTAGCTACCTCCCACATCCTCCAATCACCGCTGCTCGCTCTGCACTCAGGAGCATGCATTATTTATCTATTGCCACTATATGCAATTACAATCTATGTTTATAGCCACTGCTGTGTTGCTGCAGGCGATGAAATCTATTTCGTTTTTCATTTTCAGAAAATGAGCTGCATAAAACCAAGATTTCTGCAATAAAAGCTATTGCCCAATGCAAACATCATGACAAGAGTTGGGAAATAACTACACTGTAAGGACATTTACTCACATACTGTACTTCAGAACAATTTTTACTTACAGTTTTGGATTAATGGTGTGAAATATAATCAACACTTAAATAAGACATTAGTTACACCTGGAGTAAATTCACAAGCCCTGCAGTATACAGTCATTAAAACTAGCTGCACCTTTACCATCTTTGATAACACTTTAATGCATCAATAATTATTATCAAAACATAACATATATATTATTCTGAAATGGACCAATCTGCATAATGAGTATTATTTACTTTTGGTGCTTTAAGTATATTTTAATGCCAATACTTTTGTACTTTTACTTGAGTAACCTAGTGATTGCAGGACTTTTACTTTTAACAAAGTATACTCTGGTACTTCTACTTTTACTCAAGTACAAGACCTAGTACTTCTCCCATCACTGATAATGACTAACCAGTGATAGAAAAGTAACTCAGTATACATGAGTAGCCTAGCCTCATTTAATGCTACTTAACTCTCTTTCCACTCCATTTCTTTTGAAAGCATTAAATACTGGTTACGTTTGATATTCATTTCAGTCAAACATTAATACATCATTAACTAAAATTCATAACATTAGTTTACATGATATCGAAATGGGTCAATCTGCGTATTGAGTACTTTTACTTAGTTACTTAAAGCTTGTTTAGATGCTTTTACTTTGTATCTAAACTGTCTATAAGCAGCTGGAAACAGTATCCTTAATTGCTGTTTCATTAGAGGCGGAGCCAGGTATATTTACAATAAATGACATGCAAATTAATTCATGTTTGAATTGAAGAGGATTTGACTAAGATGACATCGCTACCATAAGGACCAACAATATGCATATTAGCCATATGGTTGAAGAGCTAGACCTGATTCATTATGTGTATGTTATTTTAGCCATTTCTTCCTATAGCGTATAAAGGGCTTTCTTTTCATGGTCAGAATATGCAATCAACAGAATAGTCCTTTTAATAATTCGTGGATTGAAGACTTTCCATCAGTTATTGCCAATATTGAGGCATCTAAAGACTTTTGGTTCTCTTTAGCTTATATAAAAGTGTTCCACTTCAGTCAAATGAATAGTTATGCATGGATACTCACAGTGTTACCTTGATCCTTATTGGACTGCAAACAGTACTACAAGGATTTTGATGGGATCAAATTGGACTTGGATGATCGTGATGATATTGTTAACTTTTTATGGAAACCAAACGATGAATCAATTAATCCTGAGTGTAACTGAAAGATTAATCTATACTGAAAGTCATTGTTAGTTGCAGACTTACTGGCTGTTGGTTAATAACTACAACATTGATCTGAATAGTTTGTTCTCCAACCAATCTACTTCCTCTTCATGTATAGTTAGCATTGAACATATTCTGCACCTACTAAAGCAGTTGTTGCTTAAGGATCTCTCACCCTTAAATCAAGCTATTTACACAGTATAGCATTTACATTTGGGTGTAGTCGGCATGTCACATTCTCTCTAAATCTGAGTCTTAACCTTAACTGGGAGGCTAACAGCTGAGCTAAAGTCTCCCAGCTCACACCAGTCAATGCCTCACATTCTGAGAGCTAAACATCTATTCAGGTCCAACATGTCTGATATGCTGCACAGCAGAGAGCAGACTTAGCATTCTTTCCAGACATGTGTCTTTGCATGCACCATCTCCCATTCCCATTCCCACTCTCCAATCTTTTATTCTCAACAAATTCAGTGTGATGCTGTGCAGGAATAGTGCAAAACAACAACTTTTGTATATTGATGCATGCTTTGCACGACACTGGACGAGTGTGAATGGACTATTTTGAGACTGTTGAGACTGAGAAGGGAACAACTGGAGCCAGTGCCCTCTTTGTTGTGCTCCGCGGTCAATCAAATCCAATTTGAATGCAGTGAGAACACAAGGGAAGTCTCATGACTCTGTGCGGAAGCCAAACAGCTCTGCAGTTATTGTCAATAATACCAGCCTTGATGTTATCAATCAATTGGTTCCTGGGATCATTGTTAACTCCTCACTGACCTTCAGTTCGACAATCAGAATGAAAGCACAAAAGAGTGCAATGGAAACACCAATATAATATATAATTTAAAACAAATAATACATTATTGTATCCGTCCAATAAATGCAGTTTGAGCTACAGTGTTAGCTTCCCAATGTGGATCTTTAAATTCTCACTTGTTCAACTGATTGGTAGCCATTTGAAAGATTGTTCAATATACAACCCACCAATTACAGTATAATGATTTACTACATATGAGGGATCAATAACGAACCTATTCTGGGTACCTAACTGGAAAAATATGTATTCAGAAGGCAAGAAAAGGAGAAGTTAGGGAATAAAGGGGTTAAATAAAAATACGTTGAAAAAGTTAATATTTGTTATGAATGAAACTGTAGTTACTTTGCACTTACAGGGTACAGTATTGTTGTTGCTGGGGGACAAGGCACTTTTACTGTGCAATACAATATTATATCATATCATTTATCTTAAAACCATGATTTACTGACATACTTACAGTATGTCAAAGGACATTGTAGAAAAAAGACTGCTGTTTATGCCTTTAATTATTTTTTATTCAAAATGATATTATTATACAATTCTAGAGAACAGTTGAAGAACCTAGACCAGTTGACTGAGACGTGTGGCAAGCTATTCCTCCTGCAGACAGAAATATCTTAACAATTGTTTGGATTGCCATAAAAAGTGGTACAGATGTGTCCATGGGGCCTAGAGGATCAATCATACAGACTTTGGTTATCCTCACACTTTTCCTCTAGCTCTACCATGACACTGACATTAGTGTTATATCAGATGGATTGCCATCACTTGGTGACTTTTCATCAATGGTCAAACTTTGAATTTGTCCAATACTTTGGTTTGTTGTTTAATGTCCCATTACATTTTCACCTGCTCTTATTGCCTTTATCTGACCACTTAAGTATTTTATATATATTTGACAGAATATTTGAATTGTAATTTGCGGGTTTTAATCTAAAGTGTGACTGAATATCTTTTTTGTTATGTAGGGGATGTATACTAAGCCCATTCCCATGCTGAATACCTGGTATCATAATGTTAAATAAGGAATGTAGTTATTATCTTCTAAAGCTTTCCTTCTGTAATTACTCTTAAAAGTTATTTAAGAAGAAGCAAAATAAGATGCACCTTCTGCTATACAGTATGAGAGTGAATCTGAAACAAAATGTTAATTACATAATTTAGGACCAAGAAGGCCTCCTTGATATCTATGGTGCACTGCAATTCCAACACATGTTTGGTTAGGTGTGATGAGCTGTTGGATTTCCCCCCTCAAGGTACAACACATTCCTGGCTGCACTGGTCAGTATGATTTTAATCTGTTTTCACAGTCAGGCAGCAGAAAGACACAATCTTGTTTGGAATTCCAGTCCCACTTTAAACCTTCAATGTCTCCCTGTGGACATACCAGAGAGGAATCAAGGGTGGCAGACGTTTTTTCCAAGTGTGTGTCCCACATGTGCTCACCATCAAAACATCAGAGCCTCACGACAGCTATCATATCTTTTTACACTGTCATATCTCTCAGGGGCATCACAGTTGTGGCACACATAGCTTTGTTACAGCTGAAAAAACAAAACGTAAAGGGGTGAAGGCGATGTCAGAGGCGGTGAATCCCACTGTTGATTCAGCAGAGGCAAATCAGAGTGTGTTTGTCACTCTGTGAGGCAGACTTCACAGGCCCGAGTCAAAAGGCAGGATTAAGTGTGAAAGACACACCAAAACCACTTTGAAAAAATATGAAGAGATGAGTTGTGACATTCATAATGACAAGATGGAATAACAGGAGGGGTTGTTCACCACAGACGGGGTATGAGAAGTGCTAAAGTGGTGAGCTGTCGAGCTGAGAAACTCGTAGGCCTCGGGTTTAAGAAGAAGTGGCAACATCTAATTAAGTGAGCTATCCCATCATCTTTAAATGCAGAGTTCTGATTGTAGAGTAAACTAACAGAACAAGCGAATGACAAATTTGTAGCCTCAGCAATGTAAGAAGTGCTTTCCCAGAAACATAAAATAACCATGTGGTATTCTGGTAGTCACCCATTATCAAAATCCCTGTTTAAATTCCATTTAACAGCCGCTTTGGTACCACTTTTTTTAGACATATGCACTTGAGTGTACAGCCTACATTAGAAACCTCTTATTCTTAAAAAGCAAGAATAGGATTTTAAATTTTAAGCATGTGAGTGGCATCACACATTTGCCTTGGGTGAACCATATGGAGTGAACTGTTACCAAGTAAATAATTAATTGAAATACGACCTAAAATCTCAAGAGCCACTCATTAATTAAGCATTTAAGTTCATTATGGGCATTGGAAGCATTATTTGTGACAGAAAAATCCCAACTCAAGGGTCACTTAATGGCTTTATTTAGAGCTGTATCATCAAGTGTTATGGATTAAATCATTACAGCAATTAAGCTCACATGTCAACAGAGCAAACTCCATACAGTACATTGATGAAGACCATGTGACAGAGAGTTGAAAGCTCTGGAGAAAGCTAAGAGTAGACTTGCGTTGAAATTGATTTGTCAAACCACTCAAAAATGCTCTTTGAGATCAAAGAAAAAATAAATACACTCTCCTTTCAGCCAGTTATATATAGAGTTAAGTAAGCTTAGCTAAGAATAAAAGGTCAATACAAGGCGAAACAGCTAGCTTAGCTCTTTCTAGACAAATTTGCCTACTATCACTTCTAAGCACATGAATAAACACATTATATATGTTTTGTTTGATCTGTAAAAACTCTACGGTGTAAAAATGATTATGGTTTTATAAAAGTTACGTGTCTAGACCTATGGTCTAGACTAGCTGTTTCTTCCTTAAGCTAAGCTAACTGTCAAAGCTAACCCTCCGTACAGTAGCTTCACGTTTCTAGATAACAGTGGTATCTAAACATTTAACACTTGGCAACAAAGTCAATAAAATAAAAACTCCCATTATTCCTTTACTGATAGACTCATATCAAGCTTATGATTTCATATCAAACTATGCCATCAGCTGAGCACAAACGACAACTTGAATATTAACAACAAAGTGCTGCCTTTTAGAGTGATAGGTCAAACAATTGTTCCAAAAAAAACACATTTATAAAGGAAACAAGAGTCGGTGACATCTGACTCTAAACAGCCCTATGTTTTCCACGGTCACCAGCATTGTTGTTTGCTTGCTCCGCTGCCAATCATTATACATGGCAGGTCAAGGGTCACAGCCCACATTAGGACAGGCTGCCCCCTCTCTGCAGGGAGTATTTCCTGTGGTAGTCTGCATGTGGCTGCCAGTGGGAGGTCAATCACCAGGAGGCCAAAGGTTAAAGAGGGTGGATGTATCAAGGAAATTAGTTTCTATTGTTTAACTTCCAAATATGCAAATCCTTCAATTGGAAGTCTGAGATTTCCTTACCCTTTAGTATTTTTTTGTAATCTATGATGTAGTAAGAAAATATAAGATATATCACCATAACTGTATCTAAATCACCTCCGTGAGAACTGCACATTCATGAATGACTGGCATGTGGGAGTTTTTGTTGAAGCCATAATATAATGGATATGTGAAGTGCATGTGAAGAAATTCCTCACATTTTCAACCTCGAAACAGAAATACACTGCTAACCCATTTAGCAGCTTGTTAACGTTAAGGCAACTGGAAGGGGAACGAGTAAACGAAAAAAAAAAAGCACTTGTAATTAACTACATTTCAGCACAAAAAAAAATCATGAATATTCAGTCTTTTTACAAACCATTTCACTACATTTTGAAGCCTCTTTCTTATGTACAGTAGTATTTGTTTTCCGGAACAAATCATATAACTTGGATTCATAGCTACAGTACAACCAGTACACAGTTTCAAAGTAAAGCACAGTTTATTTAAGGAAATATATTTTAAAGTACAAATTTGACCTTTTTGGACATTGGGTGGCCATGTAACAAGATGTAAATATAACGTGACACATTCTGCTTTCTCCTGTACGATCCTTAAAAACCTCCCAAAAGACACCATAGATTGGTTGGTGAAATATGTCTCCCAGGTATGAAAACAGTCCTTCTGTTTGACACATACAAGGAGCCTGCGGCTTCTCAACAGTTGATAAATGAAGTGCAATAACTGAAACAGCAGGGAGATAAGGTCTTTCCAAATCAGCAACATATGTAGCAAACAGTGTTTACGCAATCATTTTAACTAAACCTCTGTAAGCATTTCAGAGCTGGGACACATCGATCAATAGTAATGGCAGTACCAGTCAGTCAACTAATTAATGGCTTTTTCCATTGGTTGGCGAAAAATAAAAACTCTTTGGCAAATATTAAACTAAAAGGGCACTTGGAGAACAAAGACCTCCAAATGCCCTATCGCACTATGTAAACGAAAGGGAAAAACAACACTGCAAAATGATATGGGATCTTTCTTTGACCATGCAACAACAGGGCTAGAAGTTTTCCCAATAAACAACTGACAAACAAAGGAATAAAACCGAAAAACATAATGTAAGTGAAATATTTTCTTTAAAAAAATCTGCATAATCGAGTTTAGACAGATTTAAATGATTGTGGGATAAAAACAGCTGTCTTTAAGTTGATATACATTCAATCTCACCATCATAATGTCTTTAAAAATGTTACTCTTTTTCTCAGCAGAAGAGATTCCTGCTGCTGAAATTCACATTTAACAAAGTGCTACAGTATTCATAACTGCCATTTCCACCCTATGCCCAGGGTCCCCAGGCTCCAGTGGGACCCGGGTCACATCGGGGGTCCTCATCGGGGAAGTTTATCGGTAAAGCACTTTTCTGGTATTGGTTGAGCCTAGTGAGAAGATACTCTACTACTGTGGGGAAGTGAGCGGATAATTCATTCCTCTCCTCTGGATCTTTTTCTATGTCAAACAGCATTACGGGCTTCAGTGGATCCGCCTGGGGGGGGTTTGAATCGGAGCTGTTGTGCCCGGGTCGCGGAAACCAAACGTCACAACCTGGAGGAAATAAGATGAAGGAATCAGATTGGCAACCATGGTGGGAAGTAGCTCAATACATTAACACAAGTACTGTATTAAAGTACAATTGTAATTTACTTCACCACGTTGGAGAGAATAATATTACAATTTTGACTGCACTGCCTTTGTCCGAGAGCTGTTGTTACTTTTTGTTAGATACAATTATTATAAAAAACAAACAAAATATAAGCCTGTTCAATAAGATGCTGGATTAAATCACTGGCTCCCAATATTTTTGATTTATGGCCCTGACCTGCTCTAGTTGAAGCTTCTTGTCTTAGCTAGACATTTGAAAACCTCTCATTTAAATAACTATTTAAATCCTAAAGAGGTAAATGTATATTATTATAACCATATACTATATATTCATTCAATATTTTAGTAAGTAATGCATACAGAATGATTGTCAAAACTGTTATTTGATTTTCCTCTTCAATCAACCAATTCGCCACCCATTAGATTCATTTTGTGACCTTTTGAAGGGGCTTGACCCCCATTTTGGGAACCACTGGATTACATTTACTGTATAAAAACTAGTTTAAACTAGCTCTACCAACACCAGCTTCACAGGGGTGTTTTTTATACTTCTATATACAAATATTTTACTTTACTAAGGGATCCAGAAACGTCTTCCACCGCTGTTCCGCTGTTGATTTTCCGCTTCGCACTTAGACTAAACATGTCATTACGGTTGTCAGGAGATACGGACCTGGGTAGCCCGTCAGCAGCTTCCAGTTGGAGAATCGGATGGCGGCGTGAATGGACACATTGAAGCCAGAATTGGCCCAGGAGCCTCCACTGACCACCTGAGCCAAAGATGATTGACGCTGAGTGCCAGGACCTGCAGAGAGGAGAGGACGGAGCTGATCATGGAGGTCATCCATCTCTAAAAATATGCCTACAACTAGCTCCCACTGATTAAAACGATATTAGACTACCACTGGATACAAAACGCCCTCTGTGGAAGTCCATGTAAACCATACGGGAAGGTAGACTGGCCCCGAAAGTCAGTGCATACCTGAGAATCGAGTGAAGGTGTCAAAATAAATACACCAATAAGAAAGACCTCTTTTCTTGCTGTAAAACCAACATTGAAGCTGCAGGAATGAACGCTTCATAACAATACTTCCCTTTAAGAACAGAAACTATTGTACGTATTCATTTCCTTAAAGTTTTAGGAGGAATTTGACTATTATGGTGGTACTGTGGTCAACTCAGCACCAGTCTTTTCATATCTGCCAAGCACAATGAATAATTTGCCATTACTGCTGTCGGGCAGATTTTTAATACAGTATCAAACGAGAACAAACTGGAACCATATCACAAGTCAAGGCAAAAGTAAATAATTGGCCTTTGTTCTGAGGGTGTCCAGACATTTCTGCAGCCTCCTGCCACAATCCATTTCTCCTCTTATGGAAAATATCTACCAGAAGTGAGCACATTTTTTAAGTGGCCTTGAGAGTATTATTAGGTTCATGCTGTGTTTGACCCCGACAATATGGTCCTGATTAGACAGATTTGCAAGTAATTTATGCGTCCTCTCCTAACACTGTCGAAAACAAGTATTTCATCACATTCTTTGCTTATAGACACAAACCCCACCCACACCAAGCCAATGTTCCCATCGGAGCTCGTTTTTATGGAGTGGATTCAACCACAGCGACATGACAGGAGAATTAAAACATTTCCGATCTCAGCGTTTTTGCGACCACATAATAAAAGCTCTGACATTGAAATCTTCACTGATCATTGCGGAAAATTACATGTGGTTCTCTTAATTGTTCTCACATGTATTAAACTGGGTTTCTCAACGCAGAGCAATCCCGAACCACACCAGATCTGTAAACAACTTGCAGAGCTCATGTCCTTTACACAAGAAGGGAAAACTGCAGTATTGACATCAAGTGAGATTCAGGTGTTATGCAAGCAGGTGGGAGATTGAATTTCAAGCTTTTGCTTCTTTAAGGAAAGGAGCCTCAAACCCCAACTCACATACTGTCCATTTCTCACATTCATTCCTGCATGAGTGCCTCAACGCCAGGCCCTGCTCATCTGGATCCAAAGCAGGAGAATCCACAAATGGGCTCAAAGAAAAGGAGGGAAAGGTGGGGGGAAAGTGGGAAGAGACCCTGAGAAAGCAGAAGGGACATTTGGGGGTGATTTAAGGCTTGGGACAAGTCCAGGGTTTCTCCGCGAGAAGTTCAGGGACCCCTCTGTGACCCATTTAGTTGGGATCCCTCTTCTCACACAGAGTAAGAGCGAAGAAGGGGGATTTTGAAAAGCAACTTGAAAGGAGAAACTATGTAAAAAGGGGACAAAGCTCTTTCATGAGCTAAATGTAGAAAAGGCCAAAAGGAAAGCATAGAAAGAGAAAAGGGGAAGAAAGTGGAGCCGTCTGAAAGGAAAAGAGGAATCTCAGGCTGGAATGCATCAGGAGGAGCCGGCTGTCACTGTGGTCGCTGACAATAAAGTCTCAAACATAAAACATGGACGCTTGTAAAGCAGCAGTGTCGTTCTTCACTCTCACTTTATCATTCAAAGGATTTAGACGGTGATGCCCGACAGTAAAGCTTCAGGGTGATTTGAGCTCTGCTCGTTTATGGCTGTGTAAACAGAAGTGTCTAAAAATATGATAAATCAATGATGGGACTATAAATAAAGTGTTCAGTCAAAACAGGCTATTTTGGTGTATTCCAAGGAGCTCTTTTTTTAGATGTGAGATGAGATGTTAAAGGTGTTAATTTTAGTCACTAAAACCATAGGGAATTAACTCAGCTTTAAGGAGATTTGTCTTGTTTGTTCTACACACACCTTTTAATGTTTTTGCCGCACTGCTCCCATCAACCTCTCCATTTGCAGAAGACAGCTGTTTTTAGTTTAAAAAATCTCTGAAAAACATCAGAAACAGTCAGCAGCTCGCTGACAAGTACATTAAACAGCATTTTAAGCTGAATATATTTTGAGTTGGTGACACTATCACAGCAAAAAGGAGGTAAATATCAGACCTATGTCCAACTTAATGTGTAAATAGGCAACCATTGGATTTATAAAGACGATAATGGTTGTATTGACAGCTTGTTCCACATACTCAAGTGACCAAAATTAATCAATTAATAGTGTTTTGAAATATAAAAACTGGGTTAGGGTTACAACATTTGTTGCAAATGTTTTGGTAATCATACCTTTTGTACCTTGATTTAGATTTTTTTTTAAAAGGATGTTGCTACTGTTAAAAATCATGACCCCCCCCCCCACCAGTGAACGATACCAGGTGTGTGTGAAGCTGAAACTGAAACCAGATCTCTGTAAAGTTTTCCAGGTGACTATAAATTTAGGAGCAGAATATATTGTACATCACATGTTAAAGAAGCGCTCTCCACTTTTACACACTGACTCAGGAGGAAGTGTAATCTGTAATAACTTGTTAAAGGTTCACATGATAGACACCAGTGATTAACACTAGATACGACCCTTTAGAAAGCTGCTCCTGCACCAAAATAAAGTGCAGTGCTCCATACGGTATTTATCAGTGATAATTCCTCTACCACCCCTTGCTGAAGAGAAGAGAAGCACTGTACTTCCAGGAGATGAATGAAGCGGTATGCATCTACTCTCATGACAACCCATTATGTGCCCATTATGGCACATCTGTGAAACATTTCAGCACAAAAATGCACTCCTCCTTTGACCTCTTCTATTTTCGAATGTGTAACTAAAGGTGCAGCTTTCTCCACAGAGACAGAAATAGTGGCCTCAGACCAGGACCACCTAATATTAAGTGGTTAAGACAAGAATGAGGCCACTCCACTGTGTCTGACAGCCGAACACCAAAAGGGAGTCACATGACCAATTTCCTGGAAACCTCCCCACAATCACAGAGCTTAAACTGTAAGCACACACACCCCGAACCTCAAACATCGACTATCTCAGATTCCAACAATGTCAACTGATTACAGTTTCAACAGAGACTGATTACAATTTCAACCTTGTGTAATCAGCCTTCCTTACAACAGCATAACAAATAGCATTTTATGAGGTACAGTAATCCCAAAGAAATAACCAAAAAGTGAAGACAATCAAGCCAATTCACAAAAATGATTCAGATTACATTTGTAAACACATGGAAGATGTTTGTTTTTTGTTTTAAAGAAAGTATCTTATGATTATTCCATGTAAATGTACTTTCACAGATATGACGTGTACTTCATAAAGCAACCAAAATGACATCCAGTGATAATAATCTCCATGTGAGAATCACCTCTCCTCTCCTCATAAACTCTTAATCCAATCAAACACATTTCAAACACCCATAATAAACTCAGCGTTGACTTTTAATGTGAGTTTAGTTGGACGTTATGCAACTCCATGCTATTCTTAAGCCCCTGTCTGCCTGGACTTGAGTTAATTGGATTCACGATGTCTGGCGTATTTGTGAATACTGGCTCAAACAATGAGCCTCTTGATACTTGTTGGGAAGAGAGAGAAAACAGTAGAATTACAACATTAGAAACCAAGCATCATGCGTCATAGATTTCATAAACACAGATAGGCAGCACAAGGTTTTCATCCTCTTCACAGGCTGTATCAAATGTGTGTCACTGGCTGATTAATGAGGATTAAAAAGAGATTCTCCATGAGTTTGTACTGGTGTCCTGCCACAGTCCAAACACTAGCTAAATTGTCTGCAGGAGTATATGGTTGTCTGTCTATATGTGTCAGCCTTGTGACTAGGGGTGCACCGAATGGGAAATTCTTGGCCGAAACCGATACCGAAAATAGGAAACAGTTGGCCGAAAACCGAATGCCGAAAATGATTAATAGAAATATATATATATAATGTATACATTTTTTACCAATGTTGTTCAGCTACCTGATTATGGAAATAGACATGATTATGGCAAAACTTAACTTAAATAATAATCACTATTATGGGTCCATAAAACATTTATTCAGCACTTTTGAATGCATACAGTACATTTATATATGTCATGTATTATTGCTAAAAAACATGATATCGCAGTCTTAGTGTCGCCAACTCGTTTCTAATATGCAAAGACAACAAATGCGTCTATGATGTATTTTCGATCAGACGAGATCTCTCTCCCCGTCTGTGTGCGAGGGGGCGGGGCAGTTTACACACACGCAGCTGCTACATGCAGCGGAGCACACTGCGGAGATGGCGGAGAGAACGCGCTCCGAGGTGTGGTTAAACTTTACCCGTCTCGATGTGGAGAATACTTGTTACCATAAGTGCAATAAGAGTTTAGCATGTAAGCACGAGCAATTTGTCTAAACATTTAGCAAAAGTGCACCGCATGCAGACTGAGGAATGTACCGGGTTCGACCGTCTTTCTAGCAGCCCTGTAGCCCCATCCACGAGTAACGTTTCCACGTCAGGTGTTATGTATGCTAGCAGCAACACACGGAGTTAACTCCATGATACAAACATGGGTTAATGATTAGAGGAAACTGAGTTATTTAGTTTGTTAAAATTTCAGCTATTCTGTTTACAGTCTATCATCAGATTATTTAATACGATTTGTTAAAGGCTCAGGGCAATCTCGATGACAAAGGTCAATGTTCCCCCACCCCCCCCCCCCCTGTGAGCCAGCCGCGAGCATGGTCGCCGCGTCTTTATTACGTCATCACAACAACACGTTAGGTTACCAACGTAAACCTGTTCTGACATTCGGTGATATTTTGTCGGTGCTAAAACCCTTTCGGCCGAAAGCCGAAAGGGCCTTTTTAACCATTTTCGGTGGCCGAATATTCGGTGCATCCCTACTTGTGACAGACTAGTGACTGGTGTATCCTGCATCTCTCTCCCAGTGTGAGCTGGGAAGGGCTTTTCTGATGACAGATTGAAGGATGAGAGGTCACTGGATATTTTAAAGGGGCCCTGTTACGCTCATTTCCAGGTTCATATTTATATGTAGTGCCTCTACTGTGACATGTCTCCATGCTTTAATGTTCAAAAGGTCTTTATTTCTCTCATACTGCCTGTGCTGCAGCAACTCTTTTCACCCTCGGTCTGAAACCAGAGCCCAGTCTGCTCTGATTGGTTAGCTGGCCAGCTCTGTTGTGACTGGTCAAGTCTTACATAGTGATGTCACTATGTTAAGGAAGTAAACAAAGGAGTCCAGGCCGGGGGGGGGGGGGGGGGGGATAAACTCTTTCTGGAGGGAACTTTGGGTTTTTAGCCTTTGCAGACCATATACATGCACAAAAATACCTAACCATCAAATCAAATCAAGTTTTATTTATATAGCACATTTATAAACGATTTTTGGTCGAGCCAAAGTGCTGTACATATAATAAAAATAGCCTACAGTAGAGACACTTTACAGCAAATACAACAGCACAGATTGTTCAGACTATCAGTATGAGAAAAACGACACCCTCTGTCCTTAGACCCTCACATCGTACAAGGAAAAACTTCCGCAGAAAACCCACTAAAGGGAAAAATGGGCGAAACCTCAGGGAGAGCAACAGAGGAGGGATCCCTCTCCCAGGACGGACAGACGTGCAATAGATGCCGTGTGTAACCATGTTTATATCTAGGACTTACATCATAATTGGCTGGGATCAAATGTTATCATTTGAACCAGAATAGACTTGATCTAGCAAACAAAGAAAGGTTGGGCCAAAACTGCTCGGCTGCAAACTGTGAAAGCTGACTTTAGGGAGAAGGAGCTAAAATGGAACAGAGGAAGATAGGTCTTGATGGAGCAGAGTGTCCAAGTCTTATTTCCAGTCAGACAGCGAAGACGATGAACATACACCCTAGAGACCAACCCTTCAATGTGATCAGACAAGCCGCCCATCAAATCAAGCAAGGAAACCAAAAACCTCCTCCTCATCTCCTAATTCTGCCGCAATTGCTCGGACCACACCCATCATCAAACTCTGACTTCATTCGGATGACTGTGTCTTGGTTTGTTTCAACATTATTGCATTGACATCTAATAAACACATGGCAAAGTACTCAGCCTGTCTGGTAGTTCTCGCTGCAGTAGGTGTCTCCAGGATCACATTTGGCCCTAATTACTGACATACTCACACGGTGCTAACAATAACAGTGTCGCTCTCACTTTTATAAGTCCACAGCCCTAGGTTGCCAGTATACTCTTACATAGTGACATATCTTCAGGAATCCCCCTCTCCTCCACACCTTTTATAAATCAGATTAGACAGGGTCTCTGTCCAGGATATGAACTTCTCTTGACACAACTATTTCCTTGTCTTTTTATGTGAACAACAGAGTGCAACAACACTGAGGATGTCGTCCAGGACAGTGTCTAAAAAATGGTCGCTGTTATATCCATATTTTAACAAAATCCTACATAAAGCTTTTGCCATATTTCAGTCTGGACTAAGGCAGCTGGCTGACAAACCATAAACTGTAATGAGGGTTCACATTGGCCAACATTCAAATGTTATTGAATTATGTATATATTTTTACTTATTGTAGCATATAATTAAAAAATCCACAATAATCCATACATTTATCATACATACAAATTATCCTTAAAGTCAGAATGTTGTATAAGAAAGGGATGATTTTCTCCTCATTTCCTTTTCTCAATAAAACACAGAAGACATATAGCTGCAAAACGACTGAATGCAAACGGAGTTCCCAGACTTCTATAAAGACGTGTAATGATCTCAGCCTCTTGGCAGTATGTGCTGCAGTGAATACTTTTTGGTGGGATATCTGCAGCTTGTGTCAGCCAACGTTTGTATTTCACAAGATCCTATTTCAAAATGTATGTCAGACTCCTCTCTTTACCAGGTCTGAATGAGTGCATAGTGACATGTACACACACTTTTTCACCACAGTGCAGTTAGGAAACTCAACCTCAACTTTGTCCAAATCCACAAATGAAACCCTGCTGTAGGTATTACGTGTTATATGTTCTGATGAATATAAATCACAGTGCGGACAGAGTGGGAAAAACCCCATTTATGAATAATGAAGCATGTGAACTTACACGGAGCGATGTCATTATACAGAGGGTCAATGTTGTGCAGCAGCTCCAGTCTGGGTGAGGCAAAGCCTTTGCTGCAAGATAAAAAGTAACCGTTAAACATATGGATACACAACTAACACACACAACACCGTGTCTGACTCATGCACTGTAAAATCCTCTGGGATCTGTAAATCTAAACCAGCTGGCCATTGCTCACCATGCAGTCGTATGCTCTGACCGCACTCCACCACAGAGAAAACACACTATTCTCTCTGACCACAGTGTCTGATAACACAACTAAAATAACTCCTGCCTGCCTACTGTTCTGGGCCATCATTTGCCTTTTTTATTTTCCGCCGGCCAAGCTGCTGTTTTCTGTAACAGGCCAATTAAATACAAAATGAAACTGTAAAAAGCAGTGAAAACAAACAGCAGTGTGTGCCCTGTGTTGTTTTGCACAACACACGGCAACCATCAGCAGTAAGCGGTCAGCTGACGTGCTTCAGCCAATCAGGTCAAGTGGAGGCTGTGAGTAGTAGTTTGTGGTCCAGGCTAAGCATTTTCTGCTGCAGCCCTTCATTTCCCCTGCTTTCACTGTGTCCACATTTAGTTTACAAATATAACATGTCAGTAGTCAGTGACAGCCTGTGTGATGACCTGAGTACCTATTAACATGCAATGTAGTTTGTGGTGTGTCACCAGTTGCATGATAACTCAATCTTTGCAGTGTTCTCCAAAGCACAATTCAATATTCTACGGATAAAAGAATTCTCAGGTATGTTCCCACATAAAAGGATTTGTAGCTAAAATAATGAGTTTATCCAAAAGCAGGATTTCATAGTTCTTAGAGGCAGAGGAGGGGATGGAGAGAGGATCAGGGGAGAAAAGAAAGGGATGGAAGGACTACAGATTTGTGTGAGAATGACTGATGGAATTTCCTTCTCTTTGAGCTCCCATTGCCGAAGTAACAAAGGGCTTATTGAAGGAGCAGGGGCTCCTACAAGAAAAAGACGCTCGGTCAGGGAGACAGGCGGAGGCAGTTGGAGCTGGAGCACATGGGGGGAAGGATCGGAAAGAGGCACAGAGAGAGGGCAGGCTGTCAGATTTAAGAGCTGGTATCACTCACATTGTAAACTCTGACCTACCACCCAAGAAACGTCTTCAGCTGAAGAATTCAATACCCACATGTGTGAACAATATTTACAGTTCAGCAGCTCACCTGATTGTGTTCCACACGTTGAATCCGTCCAGTGGCTTGGTGCCGTTGGTGCTCCCTCCGGCCAGGCCAACGAGGGTTGGCAGCCAGTCAGAGATGTGGATGAGTTTGTGGCTGACGGTCCCGGGTTGCTTCAGCAGCGGGCTCGCGACAAACCCCACTCCCCGGATCCCTCCTTCCCACAGAGACCACTTCCTTCCTCGCAGCGGCCAGTTGCTGCCACCGCTCAGCGTCTGACCTCCGTTATCTGGGGACAAAATGTAATGTCACAAGGAGAAGAAGACAAAGGGATTTCAAATCAGTAGATATAAGAAAAAGGCATAAAGAAGAGATCTGGGGAGGTGACTGTGTACTAAATGCTTAAAAAGACTACAGCCTTGTAAGCTCTGTTTAGAAACCAATACCACTAATGCAGTATTAGGGCAGAATGCAGATTCCATGTTCTTCCCGTGGAGAAGAGAGAGCAGCCAAACGGATATTCCTATGTAATGTTGGTAATGTTGCTTTTACCCCAGACAGAAAATTGACATCTGTGAAAATACCTTTGAAGACGCAACACGCTGCTGGATAAAATGTCCAAAAATTATTGTTTCCACTACCCTTACAACCGAACCATGTAGTAACATACATTAGTAAAAGGGCCTAAAGCCATGCTGGTAGTTACATTACATATTGTAATATTTTCTGTGATGTTGAACTAAAGGCGAGGCTCTAATCATCTCACCTTAGTTAGCCCATCCAGCATGCTAACATGTGTTACTTAGCACTAATACTGCTAAGGCTGGTGGGAATGTTATTACCTGCAGGTATTTAGTCAAATAATTTTTTTTGGACTATTTACATTTTGACCTGATGATGGCCGATGAAATATAAAATATTATGTATATGTATAACAGATCATGCTCATTTTCAGGTTTTATATTTGTATTTAGTTTCTCTACCGTGACATGTTTACATGCTTTTTTTCTTTTTTTCACCCTCGGTCTGAAACCAGAACCCAGTCTGCTCTGATTGGTTAGCGGGCCGGCTCTGTTGTGATTAGTCAACAGCTTAGAGATGTCCCGCCCTTTAGTCTATCAGGTACAGTGTGTTGGACTTCTGTTGCAAGCCAATAGAAGTGCAAGTGTTAAGTATTGATGTCACTACGTCACAGAAGTAAACAAAAGCAGTCCAATTGAGGCGTTTCAGGCAGTGTGGGGGGGGGGGGGTGATTTTAGCATTTGCAGACCATTTACGTGCACAAAAATCTATATAACACACTACAGGAAAGGGAAAGCACAGAACCACAGAAAGCATAATAAACAGTTCATCCTGAGGAGGAAGTTAATGTGTGCATTTAATTAAACAGCAATCGATTCAGTAGTTGAAGAGAATTTTTTTTTAAAGTCACACATGTGAACCCCATGGTGGCTCTAGTGTAAAAGTCTGGCGATAACAAAAGTCAGTAGGATTGATCCTCCTAGGAGCATGAGTGTCTTATAGAATTTCATTGTAATACAATTGATAGTGGTTAAGATATTTCAGTCCGAACCAAAGTTGTAGAACGACAGGAATATGCTACCCATAAAGCATTCAAACAAAACAGCAATGCTCATCGATTTATCTCCCCTGTTAGACAAACAGTCCAGCATAATATCCATCACACACACACACACACACACACACACACACACACACACACACACACACACACACACACACACACACATACACACACCACACACACACACACACACACACACACACACACACACACACACACACACACACACACACACACACACACACACACACACACACACACCACACACACACACACACACACACACACACACACACACACACACACACACACACACACACACACACACACACACACACACACACACACACACACACACACACACACACACACACACACACACACACACACACCACACACACACACACACACACACACACACACACACACACACACACACACACACACACACACACACACACACACACACACACACACACACACACACACACACACACACACACACACACACACACACACACACACACACACACACACACACACAGCAGTTAGAGTGACTGTCATCATCCCAATGAGCCTGTCCAGTATAAACACACTTGTCCAATCACATCGAGGCAGGGCTCTCTGGGTCATGCGAGTCCGGGAAGTAGTCTGTGCCGATTCTCGAACTGTTCTGGAAAAGTCCGTCTGCTCCTTAATGCCTTTTCAAGCTGCTTTGGCTCTCTACAGGCCGATTCTCTCTTTTTTCTTTGCCAGCTTCCCCTCCAGTTTCACCTAATGCTCTTGCGCTTCCTTTGCTTACAGTAAAGGCAGAAACTTTCGTCATGGAGGAATTTCAACGCTAGGGTTAATTTCCTTCCTGTTGAGCGTGATTCATCTGGGTCAATTATAACAGCTTACAAAAACAATTGTAGATATGACTAATGGAGCAATTGATAGACCTTACTGACTCATTTCGGGAAAGGATGTTTATCTTTTATACACTATACAGTATCCTGGTCACTTTTACATAACCATTGCATCACATTGAAGAAAGCAGGAAGTATCTGGAGTTTTTCCTCCGTCAAAGTCTGCCCGGCACATGGCTGGCTGAATCTTTTCACTTAAAGGCAACCAAATGTGTAGAACAATGAAACAGGCCACCTACCGCAGGCCATAACACAAACTTGCACTTTGCTTTTGCAGCATTGTTCCAGTCTTCTAATTACCCTTTTTAAAAAGAACCCTCAAAGGAGTTACCTACTTCAGATGCAATTCATTACAGGTTCCACATGTGGAAACCTGAGAGCAGGCAGATGTTTAGACGACGCTGCATGCCCCTTTCTTTGCCTTATTATGTTCTTCATCAAAGGTCTATATGACGGGTCTTTTTTTAAGGTTCAACCATACCGAGACTTCCGAGGTGTGCTTGAAGATAAACGCAAATGAAAGTGTTGCTTTAGTGTGATTCTGTTTTAAATATTCATATCCAGCTTGTCAGAGATTCTGACATTAAAGCCTGTGAGAATAAATACAACAAAAACATTGCTCTCTAGTGGAAATCTAGAGCATTACAAGAGCTATGTTAAGATGAACCTTGCCTGGGAAACAGTGCATTAATTGAACTTGCAAGGATATGTGTTTCATGTGCCTCCCTCTTGACCACGTTGTTTAGTAAAGTGCATTATCCAACCAGCTGATACTTTAACTCAATAAACTCATCTAAACTCCGCTCAACCCTAGAAAACCGGCTTTGATGCACAAAGTAAATGTGATTTTGAGTCTGCTTACGTAAAATGTAATTGCTCTTTATTAAGCACTCACTGATCTGGTTTCCAATCTGGCACGCTATAAAAGAGTTAGACGGATAGAGAGAAGCTCACCTAATATCTATTTATGTGCAAATAAACAGCAAGTTGTTGTCATTGTGGATCTCATTTCAATCTCAGGAGTTCACTCTGATGAAGTAAGATGATCTAGACTAGAGTCTTTCTTAGATCTTAACATTTGTCCATGAGATTCTACAGAAGACATTTTGGTCATTATCTAGCGTTTCAGTAAAACATACCTGTTGAGAACACCAGGATGGTGTTGTCCCACAGCCCCCCCTGCTGCAGGGCCAGGGTGATGTTTCCCACGGCCTCGTCCATGGCCGACACCATGCCGGCATACTGCCTGCGATGGGGGTCTTTGATGAAACTGTAGGGGGCCAGGTAGCGCTCGGGCACCTGCAGCGGAGCATGGACTGCTTGAAGCGCAACGTACAGGAAGAGTGGCTGAAAGATGAAGATAACAGCATGTGAGGAAACTTCTCTGTGACTTACTGACGTAAACAACAGTAGTGAGTGCAACCAAAAAAGACTATATTACCTCAAAAGTAGAGACTGATTATAAGAGCAAACATTAAAATCGAATCATTTTGATACATCGAAAGTTGATGGGAAACAGCTGCTTATTTTGACATCCAGCAGTTATGGATCATTCATTCTTGTTTCTACTAATGAAAGTACAATTCTATCTCCTTAACATCTGTTTAAGTCTCTACCAACTCCTGAGGGAAATATCTGTTTCTTTAACTGATAAATCCTCCACTACTGTATGTTCACCAGCCAGCCTCTCACTCTTTCTGTCTGCTGTTTTGTGCGTATCAGGTACTGAGGGGTTTTTTGTTGAGATTTTTGCTGTGGCTGTGAATGATAAAAAAAACTGTGAAAGGGAAAGGGAAGTATTATACTGGCCAAAAGCAAACATATGAACTGCAACTCACTAATAAAAAAAATATAAACAAAAAAAGGTAAACCCCTTCAGTCTAACTGTATACTTTGAGTGTCTAGTGTTTAGATAGGATAAATAACTCAGTAGAAATCAAGTTAATCAGATCATCCAGATCAGGACTTACTGCTCTACACTGTGACACTTTGTGCAGGTGTGTGACTCGAGTGTGTGTCACCTTGTTAGAGTTGTGTTTTTTGATGATGCTGGTGGCTCTCAGGCTGAGCAGCTCAGTGGAATAGTCTCCTTTGTATCCCGTGGCGACCTCTTCTCCGTCCCGCAGGTCCAATGCACAGCGACTCAGGTTGAGAGCAGCAATCCGAGAGCAGCGGACATGAGTGAAGTAATCCTCGCTACCTGTGAGGTAACCTGGAGCACAAAATAATACAATTAGAAATGTGTAATACTGGGAATAAAACTACATAAAATGCTTTGTGATAATTAGATATACCAAAGTATGTGTCAAAGCCCCGGCGTGTGGGCAGGCAGTCCTTCTTGTACATGCCCAGGTGCCACTTGCCCACCATGTGAGTGGCGTAGCCCGCGTCCTTCATCAGCTGAGGCAGCAGTTTCTCGTCCAGAGGCACACAGTAGGGCTGACAGGGCCAGATGATCTGGTGCTGCATGCCGGTGCGGATCTGAGGAGGTTGAAATAAACACATACTGTTAGGAAATACATTTTGTTGATGTGACGAAGGTAACTTCGTCACTATGGACTGACGGCTTCAGGCCGGGTAATATTGCACTTTATTAGCGTGATTGCACAGTACAGTTGACATTACATATTTGCACATAATTCATACTAATTATTGAGGTAGTATCTTTTAACTGATTAAACCGTATTTATTGGAATGTTGTCTGGCAGGTGCTGGTCGGGTCCTCGGCTCCGCCTGAAAAGATAGGGGAGTTTGCGAGAGCGCCGAGAGGAGTTATGCTGGTGTAAGGATGACAGCGGTTGAGAGTAATCGGGGTGCAAATAATATGTTGTCTGTGGCTGATGATTGTGTGCACCTGGTGTCCTGTGTTGTCTCCTCCCCCCTCACCTGTGTCTTGTTGTGCTGATTAGAGTGTGTGTATTTAGGCTCTGTTTCCCTGTCTGTTGAGGAGGCTGGTAGTGTGTGTGAGATCCTAGTGGCTGCAGGCTGTGCCCACGTGAACAGCAGCAGCAGGATTGAGGCTGTGTGTATTGTGTTCATGCTGTAATAAATGCCCACACCGGGTTATATTTGGGACGTGCTGCCTCTGCCTCCTTGCTTGGTCTGGGCCGCTCAATTGTCAGCTTCACAGTTGAAAATGCATAGACTGTGAAAATGGCACAAAGCTACATCTAAAATAGCGAAAGGGGAACCGACAGCCTCTGTGGCGACAGTGATGCAAACTAAAGTTTCAAAATAACGACTTTGTCCTCTTGTTCTACTTTCCGACAATATCCAAATTGGACTTTTCCCCATGGAAAGTTCTATTAAAAACAACCAGATTCAGACAGCTTCATCCCGCAGGCAATAAGACTGTTAAACAACTGAACTGCTGAAACAATGTAATAACATTCATCTGCTACTTAGTAATTATTGATCTATTATCTAATATATTATTCCAATAACTTCTATATAGACTCGTATTGCACTATTCCACTTTTTTTTTCTCACTTGTTTCTAAAAAAAACTATTTTTCTTTTTGTATTACTTTTAATATAGTATATTTTATAATAAAGAACCTTGAACCTTGAACCTATTAAACAAACTAAAATAAACAAACACAAAGTCATACATTGGACTTTACTTGTCATCATGATGATCCCTTCCCTACATTTGACGGGAGTTATAGTTCCTTTTCAGATTTAGATTCTTCAAATTCTTACTACTTTTTAAGCTAAATAAACAATTTTTAACATTCTTTGATCAGCTGGAAAATGAATCTTCACAAAGCCTTTTTTATTGATAAAATAAATAGCCTAAATAAACTTGCCTTGCCACTATCTTAAACCAATGAACAGCAACAGCAATACCACACACACACACACACACACACACACACACACACACACACACACACACACACACACACACACACACACACACACACACACACACACACAACACACACACACACACACACACACACACACACACACACACACACACACACACACACACACACACACACACACACACACACACACACACACACACACACACACACACACACACACACACACACACACACACACACACACACACACACACACACACACACACACACACACACACACACACACACACACACACACACACACACACACACACACACACACACACACACACACACACACACACACACACACACCAGTAATAAACTCTAAAATGTACGCACTTTTAAATTATGTTATACTGCAAATAAAACACGTTTTTAAAATTAGTTTTATCCTTCCTACTGTACTAACTTTTTTAAATATTTATATGTCTTGTGAACATTTAGTATTTAATTTATAACTTTTAATAAGTTGTTAGTAGGCCTATAGTTTATAAAATGGTTCTACATGTGTTCCTTGTTTACAATGTATTTCCTCTTCCTGTTTTTATGTATACGCCAAAGCAAGTTAATTGTATGGGTGAACCTTTCAAAAAACCTGTTAATATTAATAAAAAACATCTTAAATAATGGTAAAATTGTTTAACTTTTCCTAGTTTTAATCAACTTAGGGTTTGAATGCATGACTTTTTGCAGTATCTTCAGTGTGGTACTTTTGCACAAGGATCTAGAACAGTGATTCTCAAATGGGGGTACGGCGCGCGGACCCCTGGGGGTAAGCAGGGGGTACGTGAGATTTAAAAAAAAAAAAGGTTAATTAAAAAAATAATCTAAGTTAAACAGAAAACACAATTTTATATAAAACATTCCTAAAACCACCAAGGGGGTCCTCATATAAACATGTCAAATGTGTGTATTGTATTTTATAGTTTTTCACAATAACATATTACTTAAATTGAAAAACTCCTTGGAAAAATCTGTTTTATAAAAGTGTTATGTTGTATTTTTCATGCATAAAATGAAAATATCCTTAGTTTGTTGTAATGCATACCAAGAAGGAGTTAATACATCACACACTGAGGGAACATCACTATATTGTAATTATTTATATAGGCTTTTTCGATCAAAAATGTTCAGGATCGGTTAGGGGGTAGCCTACTTGGCTGAAAAAATGTTTCAAAGGGGGTACATTACTGAAAAAAGTTTGAGAAGCACTGATCTAGAAGATACTTCTCTGACCGTATAGTGATACCCTGCAGGAATCCATAGAAACTCAGCCAGGCAGGGGTCTCAGTGTGTGGGTCTCAGGGTGTGGGTCTCAGGGTGAGGGTCTCACCTGGTACCTCCCGGTCATCAGCAGGTTTCTGGACGGGGTGCACAGAGGCTGGACATAGTAGTTATCCAGGCGGACTCCTGCCGCGGACAGCTTGTCCAGGTTCGGCGTGCGGATCTCTGAGCTGTGGTAGCCGACATCATACCAACCATAGTCATCTGCCAGGATGAACACGATGTTGGGCTGCTGGGAGGCTAACACCACAGAGGAGCTCACGAGAAACACAGCTATAAAGAGCGGATAATCCATCGTTGGTCTCAGTTAAGAACTCAGCAGAGCTCTATTAAATCCAACTCGTCTGTCACATTGTAAATAAGGTAGTCCGGTAGGCTGTATAACGGTAGAAGAAATAACCAGTTGAGTAGCACTTGAAATGTTTGGCTCTATGAAACCTGATGTACTTATATGATTCTGTTTTCTTCAAGGTTGTGTCTTCCTGGTCGAATGTACTTATTGTAAGTCGCTTTGGATAAAAGCGTCAGCTAAATGTAATGTAATGTAAATAAAAACATGGCGAATAAAAGGCTTAGAGCTAGGTTGTCATAACTTCTTCTCTTTTTCGTTATAACATCCACACACAAAAAGTCCCTAAAGTTTTAAAGTTACTGCTTCTAGCTGTCACTTCCGTGTCCCGCAGATTGAAAACACTGCCTTGACTGCAGTAGCCAATCAAAGGGCTGGAAAAATCAGACAATCACGTGAATGAAAACACAGCCAATCACGTGAGAGGAAAAAACATTCGGTCACATGAATGTGTGGAACCAAAGCAATTAATAAAACCTGCTGTTAAAATAGGTAATTGAATTAAAGCAAAAAAGCTTAGTTGATTATTGAAATATATATATTAATGATCCTTTATATTCTCTGTGAAATTGATTAGATACTCTTTTCATAGTAACATTTTCTTCTGAGCTCAGTTTAAACATGTATTTTAAATTATTTTAAACTATCATTTATGTATTTTACACTATTAATGAATGTGATCCAATATATTGTGATGGATTTTATTCATGATTTTATCATCATGAATACAATTAAAGTGTATTTTATAAGTTACAAGCGTGAAACAACCAAATTAGGAAGACTTCTGAGGAAGAATGAAAAAGGAGTAAACACCTAATACAAGGCACAGAGTGCATAGCTTTAATTATGAAGGTATTAATGTAAACCAATTCAATAACAGACAAAAGAGCAGATTTTACAATATTTTACAAGTTTGAAAGCGTTTGTTTGTTTTGTTGATAGTGTTTAAAGACTTTGTCCCATTTGCCACAGTCCCAACATGTTCTTATTTCTAAAAGCAGCAGCATCATCTTTTTTTGTTAAATTTAAAATAAAAGGCATATTTCATTAAAAAAATCAAGTATCCTGCACAAAAAAGGTTCAAACATTTCAAACAATCAAATCCATTCAAGGAATTACAAAAAGTGGATTACTCTTCCAGCACTTTAAGACATTATGGTGCAAGAACATTTAACAAACATTTAGTATTTCCATGTAACTAAAACACACATTCATAAGATGCATTATTCACTATCACAATCTGTTCTCCCTTTGTCCAGAAACAAAGCAGGAGGAGGAAATTGTGAAGTGATGTGACCTTTTTTTCCCTAAACTGACCGCAAAAATGTTTGTTTTCTCCATATAAGACTCTTCATGATACATCACAGTAAAACCGTTCTCCTTTGACTGAGGACCCTTTATGCTTTTCCCTTGGCTTTCTTCTGCAGCCGGGTGCGGGTGGGCTCTGTGAGGACTAGGGGCTCCTGGATGACCATGGCGGGGTATTTCTTCCCCAGCAGCTCCACCTCCACCTTCTGCCCCACCGAGCACAGCTCCAGAGGCAGGTAGCCGAACGCAAGGCTCTGCTGGGCGGTGTAGCTGTAGGCTCCGGAGGTCGTGTTCCCTACCACCTGAACAGAAGAGATAAGATACATGTTAAAAAAAACAGAACAATTTCTCCCAAATGTATCCACCTTTCCCCTCAACGTCACGTTTACCAAAAGGTTTAACAATTTAAAGTATTTTATTTTCTCAATGGCTATTCCACCAATCCCCCAAAATTGGCACATCAAGTATACTGTATAGTTGATACAGTCATATATTTATGTCTTGTATTCAAAATTGAGTTAATCAAACATATCTTAATCTACATGATCCCCCCTCTGCGCGGCGTGCTGATATTGGAAACACACATCCTGACATTTATAATAAAACTGGATCCTTGGACATCTTCCGCTGTTGCTAACCTTTCCGTTGAGCCAGATGGTCTCGTTGCCTTCGGGGTCGACATCATCCGTGTCCAGGGCGAGGTAGGACAGCTTCCTCTTCAGGCCCTTAGCTTTGATCTCCTGAAGGGCGGCTTTGCCAATGAAGTCAGCAGGCTGAACAAACACAGAAACATGTGTGGATGATCCAACTGAAGACGCATTTACAGACATGAAATGATTAAAGAGTGACGTGAAATGCTATCAGAGGAGAAAAGTCTTGAATTCGGAATCAGATTAAAATGGTTGCCAGCTTCATGAATAATGCAGCAAATGTTTATTTCAGAACCTATTCCTAGTGTTAGGGATAATACATGATGGACAATTGGATATGATTGTATGTTAAAAATGCATAAAGGTGAGATGGAGGGTTACCTTGTTCAGTTTGATGAAATATTCCAGTCCAGCCTCCAGAGGGTTGGTGTCACAGTTCATCTGCAAACATCCAAATCAGCCAAAAGTCATAACCTCAGCTATTTAATGGAATAGTTCAACAATTCAAGCTAAAAGTTAGATGAAAGAAATAGATAGGGATGGGATGATCTTACATTGTACTTTGAATATCGCTCACTAATTTACAGAATGTGTGTGTGTGTGTGTGTGTGTGTGTGTGTGTGTGTGTGTGTGTGTGTGTGTGTGTGTGTGTGTGTGTGTGTGTGTGTGTGTGTGTGTGTGTGTGTGTGTGTACCTCAGCTCCCCAGCCTCTGAAGCCCTTCTCCAGTCTGAGGGAGGACATGGCGTAGATGCCAAAATTGTCAATGCCTTGGTCCTTTCCTGCTTCCATCATGGCCTGATACACAGCCGCCATGTTCTTCTGATCGATGTACAGCTCCCAACCAAGTTCACCTAAACACACACGCAAATGCAGAATTACCCCATAGAGTATGTTGAGACACTCAGCACTTATAAATACGCGATTGATAAATCTGCCAAAATGGCCCGGTATTCTTATTTTTAACATGCCTAATATTTAATAACTGGTATTCTGTTAACAGAAATGGGCTTCCATAGGAAATAAGATGACTTCACTAGTTTATTTGTGTGCCTAAAATACTGAAATACAAGCCGTAGTTAATTATAGAAGATTCATATAGGATTTGTTGGGGTTGAAGAAACTTAACATTTAAATAGCGCTTTTCCCAGTGCTCAAAGAAGCTTAACTGCACAGAATCTCCAATTTAATAAAAACAAACCTAAGATACACCAGAGGGGGTACTTTACCACATTTCAGGTGTAATATCTTTATCTCGGTTTTATTTGTCATAGGGTTTTTTTTTTACTTGAGTCAACTAAAACTCTGCTGTTCCTCTGGTAGAATATTGTAGAAACAGGATATTACGTCACAATGTGTGGAGTACCTGTGTAGGAGATCCTGATGGCCCGGACAGAGACGCCGGCCAGCTGGATGACCTTACAGTGGAGAAACTTGAATCCAGCATCACTCAAATCCTCATCTGTCAGCTTCTGCAGGACTTTGCGGGAGTTTGGTCCTGCGATGCCCAGCACGCCGATATCTTCTGTCACGTTGGTAATGTCCACGTCATAACCACCATCTACAGCCTCTGCCTCTATATACCTGAGTAAATCCACAGAGAAAACGCTCAGCATGCAGGACAAAGATTCTTATATTGTCTCATTAATGCTATCCTGCATCAATTAGGATTAATCGTTAAAATAATTTGCTGGACTAAACTAATTATCTTTGGGTTTTGTACCAAAAAAAAGACATCATCAAAAATGGACATTTTTCCCTTTTTTCTGACCAAACGATTCATAGCGTAATATGGAAGATATAAATTGTTGGTTTCAGTCCTAGCAGATATAAGGAAATGGGCCAACAAAGGTAGGGTAGATATAGACTACATTATTAGTAAAATAATATATATTTAAAATACTTTAAATGTTGTATTAGAAAATAAATGCCATTGATACATTTGTTAGACCTCAGGGACACTGACTGTTAACATAACTTAGTAGCATTATTACTTGATCGCATTAAATATTTCACTTTGTGCCACATGATGTGACCTCCATGAACTCTTCATCTGTAGTTTGGTGCTGTCGCCACTAGAGGCCAGTACAGAGCACTAAACTGAGGTAGAGAGAGTGTTAACTTACTGCCTCCTGATTGGAGCAAATGGAGGGGAGTAGTATTAACAGCCGCTATAAGGTTTTAAGTTTCTGCAGTATAAAACATACTGGGAGAGAGTTCAGCAAAGCTCGGGCCTAAGGGTGTGTGCGACTGAGAACAAACATCACAATAATGAATGTTTGTAAACGTGTGTGTCTCAAAAATCTGCACTGGCTTCCTATTACACAAAGGATACAATTCAAAATCTTACTTTCAACATACAAAGCAAATACACGTCAGAGATGCTGCACTGTTACGAGCCAGCCAGAGCTCTCAGATCATCAGGAGCGGGTTTACTCATTGACCCCAGAGTCAGAACTGCATTTGCTGAGGCAGCTTTTAGTTTGTATGCACCACAAGCCTGGAACAAACTGCCTGAAAATCTGAGATCCACCCCAAACCTGGGTTCTTTTGAATCAAGGTTTCTTTTTAATGCTGCCTATCCCGAGATGCTATAACCGTGCCTTATCATTGCACTTTTAGCTGCAACCATTATTTTGTCGCTTTTATGGATTGCCTTTTTGTTTGTTTGTTTTGTTTTGAATTATTATGTGTTAAATGCATATGTGAAGCACTTTGAATTGCCTCTGTGTCTTAAAATCTGTTGTACAAATAAACTAACCTTGAACCTTGTGGGAGGTATTATGCATGTTACCCTGGTAGTGAGTGGTGTTAAGTAACTAAGTACATTTACTCAAGCACTGTACTTAAGTACATTTTGAGCTAGGCCTACTTGTACTTAATTTGAGTATTTACATTTTACGTTACTTTGTACTTCTACTCCACTACATTCATTTAATACCTTTAGTTACTTTACAGATTCGGATTAATGATGTGAAATATAATCAACATTATAATTAAAATACTTTCAAAAGACGATATGTCAGTTGGGAAAACGTTATCATTATCTTAATGTTGTACTCATTGCTGAAGCAGTTATAGGAGAAAAAATGCTAACTAATGCTAAATCCTAAATTAGCTTTTGCTAGCCAGATTAACTTGAGTAAAATAAAGCATGTGTTGATTGTTTCACCTGAGGTCATGACCCTCTGATCCGGAGCCTGTGATGAGCAGGAACTCTCCGGGTGCCAGCTGTGTGATGGTGACCTCGGCAAAGACTCTCCCATTGGGTGTCAACATGTGGCTGATGTTAGTCAGGCCCACCTGAAGACACACAGGTCAAACAGAGAATTAGTTAGACAGAGCAATGTGCTTCAAACGAATAACA